ACACTGTAATTTTTTCCATTAAATTTGGTCAACCTATTCTGCACATTAGCTAGAGATGACATGCAAGATCAAGAAATCCCTCGTGGCAAAGCATACTACTACTTAAAACTCACACCTACTACTGTAATAAGAGTAATAAGAAGGAAGTGTATGGAAATTATTTTAGGTGATACTTCTTCAGGATATTCTTTGATCCATATTTTGCCACTACAAGTAGTGTAGGCAGTGTAGTGCCTACACCAGTATAACTGGTTCTGCAACAAAGTTTTGCTTCTAAAAGGTTGAAACCATTTCCCTGTCTCAGAGTAAGGAGCCCAAGCCTGGACAAAATTCACTGTTTAAAGTTAGACATAAGAAGTATAAAACTGCCCTCATAACTGATAACTACTAATAAATATCCTGAAATAACTGCTGATTTAACTTGGGAGTGTTCAGTGACTCAGTTTGGAATTACCCTGACAGCTGTATGCACCCGTCCACAATCTGTTCCTACGGCAGGCAAAAGGGACAGACAGAGTTAATAGCAGGAAAACATTTCTAATATCATTAGCTTTTAACATGAACACTGAGGGAAAATGCTTAAACAAACAAAAAAAAAAATGACCAAGCCACAGAATTAAGCAGAGAAACACTAAGAAGTAGTGATTCTTTTTCCTTATTTTATTGGGTAAATGATTTAAAAGGTAATAACAATAGTGTTAAAACTACTACAATATCTTTCCACAGCCATATCTCACAGACCCACAGATAACCTTCTATTTTTTTTTATCTTTTTCCTCATTTTTCTCTTTTTAAGCCGTACTTATATTAAAATGCCCATTTCAACAGTTTCTTCACACTAATAGCAATTAAATGTGGAAGGAAGGAGGATCTAGTTATAAAGGAAGGGGGAGGGGGTCAGGTAATCTGTGATATTACTGTAATCAATTGAGTTACTAAGGAAGGAAGGAAAAGACAGAGGCCTTACAAGCTACACCAGGTAGCTCTAAGCCCATTCTGTGTCACCATTGCATTAAAGATAACTCAAGATGCTGGTGCACAATTTAAAGTTTTTTTTTTTTTTTGTAACATATAAAACACTAAAATAACTTAGAAACTAGATCCAAATATCTTGAAAAGAATCAACTTTGATATACAAAAACAGTCATAAGTTGTTACAAAAGTTTCAAACAAAAGTTTGTTTTCTCAGTGCGTTTATGTACCAGCACAATTACTGGGTCCAGAGCAAAGAAAGAGGTTTTTATTTTTTCTTTAACAGTAATAAAAAAACAAGGAAAACATATCTTTGTATATAAAGAATCATTGCTGGTCTTAAGAATAAATGTAACCAGAAACCCTTAAATCTGAGAGGCACACTTTGGGTTTCTCTTTTTTTTTTTCCCCACTTTTTTTTTTTTTTTTTTTAAACATAAAAGGAAAGTCACCAGTTTATTTAAATGGGGGAGACATTCAGACTCCCCCAATAAACTTAATTCAATTAACATCACTAGCAAAAATCAGTTAGAAACTGTACAAAAATAAAAAAGTTAACACATTTAATCCTGCAGGGATTTTGTAGGACTGGAAGGCAGGCTTTAGGAGCAGCATTTGGGCATGGCTGGAGGCTTCTTTGGTTCGATCTAACACACATAAGAGATGTAACCTACTCCAGACAACAGTTTTAAAACCCGCACATTTGGAGACAAGCAAAGAGGTCTGTATACAAACGCCAGGGTGTGCAAATGGCTTCGGCTGCCTTGGTGGAATAGTGTATCTGAGGTCAGAGCTCCAGTGTGCCCTCCCCCTGCTGTGATCAGCATTGGGGTTGAGATGGTGAGATGTCAGTGCTACAGCAGTCTGGCAGAAGGAAGGCCACTTGAAGCATGACTGAGTAATCGGTTCATGTCAAGTCTACAGCTTTGTCTAACTCAGCTTACAGAACAGGGTTTTTAGGAACATTAAGCAAAATAATTAAAAACCCCCCAACAATCTCTTTCATGAATAAGGCAAACTGAGTAGTGCTCATTAAAAAAATTAGCATTCCAACTTAAGAAAGTGACATAAGCTACCAGGTTGTACCTTATCTTCTTATAAAGTACCCCAAATTAAAAAAAAAAAATAACATAAAATTGAACGTCTGTATCTAAAACCAGCAATATATCTAAAAGGGTACTAAACATCACTACGAGGGAACATTTGTGAAAGCATTGTTGATCAGCTTTAAGCAAACAGACCTATTCTGTCCCAGTGCATGTCACAGTGAACTGCACGTTTTGTACAAATTAAATCCACAATTACACAGAAACAATCCATTACATTTTCAGCACTTGCATGCTGAGGAGGTAGGTGCCCTATAAACACTGTAGATAGACTGATTATTCCAATCTTTTAAAATAAATAGCATACAATCTGATTGACCACAGACTCTGTAACAGTTTTTTAATTAGTGATACAAAACTCTGGTCCAGAAGGGTCTGGCATTAACTCATTTCAAAAGCACACCTTTACAGTTTGTATAACACCCTTTTAACTATATTTTTAAGCAACAGCTACTAAGAGATAGACAAAAATGCATTGTGCATTATGCTGTATACAAAAAGGAGACAAAACTATCCTTTTCTCCCCCAAGCCATGGTGGGAAGTATTGCTGACCTTGTCCTTAAAAACCTGCAGGATTGTTTATTCATCAGTATATCATCATTATTACACTGGTAAGAAATTCTGTATAACATCTGCATATATCGAAGATTTTTAAAAAATCTGATATGATTTTAGATCCGCATGACCAGTCACGTGACCTGCTTGAGGTTGATTAGCACCTTTCAATACATATATATTTTTATATATAATAGATCTTTTTAAAAAACTTCTACTGATGAGCTCATACAGAAGCATGAGCATGCTGTAACGAGATGACAGATAAAGATGGGGCTGGATGACTTTTTTTTTGCAGCAGAATGATTCAGTTTGTGCTCAGTTTCCCTATAAGGGCAAGAAAAAAACCCAACACAACTCTTATCAGGTAGCCATTTGTTCACAATTTCCACTTGAAGACTAATCCATTTCAAAGTGTTCCCCAAGTAGAAACAAGACAACAGTATCATCCAAAATAGCCTCTGTATAAACATCTATTAATTTTTGCAGCTTCTGGCTGGCATCTCTTGGCTCCTGAAATTTCAGGCCTTTCTGCTTATAAATTAAGGCATCACAACTGAAAATGTTAATATTTGGACATCAAATGCTGTGGATGAAGGAAAACCAAAGACCTTCTACAAGAACCTCCAAAGAAATTAAGTGGCAAAGCTAACCTCACCTAAGGGATGAGCGTAGTTCTTCAATATCTGGTTTTGAAACCCTACTGAAACATTTTTACAATTAGCCTGATTTTGGTTTTAATAACTGAATTTTAATTGTGTCTCTTTGAATTGTATATATCTATATATTACAAACATTCATTATTCAAAATAGCTGGAATTTCTGCTTGCTGTGGTTGACTCGTTCACATTAGGAAGTTCTTTCCTGTAACAGACAGTGTGTACTGTCCCCTAGACCACGCCCTGAACTGCAGCAGGTATCAGTGGGAGTTCTGCAGGCACACGAGCAAGGAGCTGGCTCCTGCCATACACTGGGCTTGCAAATACACCACGCATACCTTTTACTAAATCCTGGTTTTACAGCAGGAAAAAGTTCCAATCGGTTTTCTTTCCTCTGCTGTGTGGAGGGGTATCAGAATTATTACGCAGTACTTACAGCTCTCAAGTACTATCCCTGTAGTAAGTTAAAACATGTAAAATTATGGCATACATGTCCTGTGCTCTTTCACAAGTCTTTTTTTTTAAAAAAAAACAAAACAAAACCAATAGTTAACTTTCTCTAACTATTCACAACTTGATTAATCTCAGCAAGTTCAAAAGCAGAAGAAAGAACAAAACAGGGATTTTTCTTTTCCAAAATAGTTTTGCTATTACAAAAAAAAAAAAAAAGAAAAACAAACAAAAACTCACTTTAAAAAAAATCTTCCCAAAACCTGATGCCAGAGCAGTCTCAATACAGTTTGCTAGAGTGTCTGGCATATTTGCTCTATTCTTTTCTATGAATTTTATATATAAGTATATAGTTACGTCAAAGTCAAAGGCACTAAAATCTAAATCCACTTTCTTCCTAATATGACTTCTGCTACTCACCAACGTATTCTTGAAAACAAATTTAACTCCTAATTTGAGATGACCAGAAAGGCATTGTCTCGTTACAAATGCATTGTTCCAACAGGGCTGGACTGCCCTCGATCCCCAGCACAGCACGGGAGACAAAGGTCTCTGGGGGCCTACTGGGCTGTGTCGTGCCCTGTCAGTCAGACCACTGGATCCTGAAAATGCTGCCAGGTTAACTTCCCCTCTCCTTGTACATGTAACTGCTGCTTTTCATCTAAAAAAGCACTTTATATGCCAGCCTTGATGTTTTGGGTGCATGTGCTGGATCTGAAGATCATGTATATAGCTACATGAAATCTTTACTATGGGGGTGAGATACTGTACACACAACATCATGAAGAACGTGATGGGAATGCAATTCAATGTCTAGTAGAATACCTGAATCCGATATGTTTCGTTCCCTGTCACATCTATTGATGCAAAAGCCAAGAATGCCTTTTTGCTAAGCAAAGCATCCCGAACTGTAATCCTTAAACTCTTCCTTCCATCCACAGTCACAGAAAGCCTTGATTGATATCATTCAATGTTAATGAAGTAGAAATTTAAAATTTCATAAAAAACCCCAAGGGCTATATATGCTGCAAAAAAATCTGCAGTGACTCCACAATAAAAAACGTATGGGATCTTTGTAGTAATGCAGTTTCCCTCCCGTTGCCACGATGAGCTTAACCAACCAAGAAGCCTCATCATGGCAACGGAAACTATCATCATAAAATGGTACAGTAATAGAGATAGCTAGACCAAGAAGGGGCAGGGTCTCCTGGGAAGAGGTCTGCAGAGAGGTCCAGTGACTGGTCATGCGGCTCAGTGTCAGGAATAATGGTTGTATGGTGGAAGGGGGTGCCCAATACCATTTTGGAAGTGATGATGCTGACGATGGGCAAGGTACTCTGTGTAGCTCATCGTCATCTTCTCACTACGGTACCTAGAAAAGGGAAAGAAGCAAATGCAACAACTGTTACTAGGAAGCTGTAAGTAGCACTAAAAATCCTGCACCAGTGGTTTGGTAAATGCTAACAGCTCTACTTCTGGTGTTAGGAGTAAGACTGACTTCAGTTGCACAAGGGCAGGGAGGGAACCGCCACAGCTGTCAGTGTCATTCGTGAATCACATGACAAATCACAACATAACTGCTTATGAAACAAATGTTTAACATTGTTGCTTACTATTTTGCTCGAAGTAAAGGGAATAGAAACTCATGATTTATTGAGAACATGCTGTATCTTCAGCCAACTCTACATAAAACCTAGGAGAACTGTAAACAAGCACTGCACATTTTAGGGCTGTTTTTAAAGAATCATTATCAATTGTCTGCCAAGCTCTGCTTTTAAAATAATCCCAGATACATTACATTCTTTTTAGACTAGAATCACAGACTATCTCAAGTTGGAAGGGACTCATAATGATCACTGAGTCCAACTTGCTGCTCCTCACAGACTGTCTAAAACTAAACCATATGACTAAGAATGTTGTCCAGATGCTCCTTGAACTCTGACATGCTTGGTGCCATGACCACTTCCCCCAGGAGCCTGTTCCAGTGACCAACCACCTTCTCAGTGAAGAACCTTTTCCTCATGTCCAGTCTGAACTTCCCTGGATTCTTCATTCCACCAGAGATCAGTACCAGCCCCTCTGCTGCCCCCCTTGAGGACGGTGTAGCCTGCGATGAGATCACTCCTCAGTGATGAGGTCACCCCTCAGCCTTCTCTTCTCCCAGCTGAACCAAGTGACTTCAGCTGAAGTCTTGCCCCCAAGGCCTCTCACCACATTGTCTGCCCTCCTCTGGAGACACCTATATTGAGGAGCCCTGAACTGCATACAGCACTCGAGGTGGGGCTGCCCGAGTGTGGTGTAGAGTGGGACAGTCACCTTCCTTGACCAGCTAGCTACACTGTGCTTGACTGCACCCCAGGACGTGTTGGCCCTTTTGTCTGCCAGGGCACACTGCTGACTCAGGCAACTTGCTATCAAAGCCAACCTCAAGATCTCTTTCTGCAGGGATGCTCTCCCTCCTCTCATTCCTCAATTTGTACATATAACCAGGATTACACTATCCTAGGTAGAATCCTGCACTTGTTCTTTTTAAAAGGAAACTCAAGGTACATTTGACTCCAGTGTCCAGGTAATTTATCAAAACACTGAAGAGCACTGGCCTTAAAATTGAGTCCTAGGAGATCCCACTGGTGACTTGCTGCCAGCCTGATGTCGCCCCACTTCCTAAAACTCTATGAGCCTGACCTGTCAGTCAATTGTTCACCCAACGTGATGGACTTGTCTAGATGTGAGCTGGACATTTTGTCCAGAAGGATACTGTCAGTATCAAAGGTTTTGCTAAAATCTCAAACCACCACACCTACTGCCTTCCCTTAGTCAAATTAAGTTGGTTAAGGAGGACTTTCCCCTCATGAACTCACACTGGCTACCATCAATGACTGTGCTTTTTTCAATAGGTTCTAGAATAACTTTCTCCATAGTTTTGGCAGGCACTGAAGTGAGACTGACAGGCCTGTGAACTACCAGGGTCTTCCTTCTGACTCTTCTTGAAAAATAGGACATTTGCCAGCTTCTACTCAACTGAAACCTCTCCAGACTCCCAAAACTGGAAAAATAATGGAGAGGTCCCACAGTAACATCAGCCAGTTAGTTATATGTAACTAGAAGCAGAACCCAGGCCTTAACAAGTATTTTGGATATCCTTCCATCAGTGTTGTTTAACAACAGAACCTATCGCCACATTTACACTGATCTATAAAAGTGTAAAGTCTACTCAAAACCAACAATATTCCATGTTTCCACAAATTTCACTGAGAAAGACCCTGAGTAGGAGATCTTGACAGATGAGGTTGGGTGAATCCAGCTGCAGTAATTTAAAATATTGCCACCTCTCCTTTGTATCACATTTTTCATCTGGAATTGCTCTGGTTGTCTTGTCTTTTGGGTCTGAAAAAAACACAACAAATGGCTCAACCACTTCCACTCACAACCCAACACAAAAGTTTAAACTACTGTGGAGCTCCCAACTGCAATGACTGAGGTGGCAAACACGTTTGTCTCTGTTGCCTCTCTGCCAGAGGAACAGAGCAGGACATCTCACTCTCACAGCTTGTTCCTTCAGTGGATGTGCTTCAGAGCACCAAAGGTGCCCACGCTTACTTCATACAGTGTTTGTTAGTGACTAGTTCAACAAGTGGCTGCTGGTCCTTACTGAGAGATGAGCTGCAGCTCTTCCTGAACTGCCGTGAATGAAATCCTCTGCCACTACGAAACTCAGCCACAAGGCTTGGCAGTCAGTGAAGCTGGTCGGCAGTGGGCTAGAGCAGGCTACAAGCTGGTCTGCAGTGGGCTAGAGCAGGCTACAAGCTGGTCTGCAGTGGGCTAGAGCAGGCTACAAGCTGGTCTGCAGTGGGTTACAGCAGGCTACAAGCTGGTCTGCAGTGGGTTAGAGCAGGCTACAAGCTGCCATGCTGGAATCACCTCTGCTCCTTAAAGCAGATGGAAGAGAACATGCAGTTCCCACCCCTAGAACTGGTAACACTTCTTTCAGCTCCACCGTTTTTTAGTTGCCTTCAAAACATGGCCAGAACTACTCGGTATTAACTTGAAGTGAAGATAGCAATGGACAGGTTTTGATTAGCTTAAAGCTTTATTCACACACAGGACATTTACTTTAATTCAGAGACTTGAAAAAGAAGTTGAAAGCATTTATTCCACTCCTCCAAGAGGTGTTTTACTTGTCTGACAAGGTCATTAAAAAAAGCTGTCTGATGCTGGGAAATGGTTACTATTTTAACACTGCTGCTTATAATGTGTCAGCAGAAGCTGAGTTTTTAAGCAAGTAAAACAGACAGCTTAAAAAAAAATAATTTTCTTCTGAATACTAATAACAATGCTTTGTTTATTCCACTTATCAGGCCAATGGTTTTGCTAGCAGCTTGAGTGTTGTGAATTTAAATACATTAAACACAAGGGTTTGGTGTGGGTTTTTTTTTTTGAGGGGGGGCTTTTGTGGGCTTTGTGGTGGGCTTGTTTTGTGCTCAGATGCTATTGCTCCAAACAAAATCGGGTAGCTGGATATATGTGTGTCATTTAGAATTTTTGTTTCTTAGGAATATCTATTCTTATTTAAACTGAGGTGTACAGAACTTGTCATTTAACAACTAGAGTGGGGGGCAAGATTAACAGTGCTATCTCCTTATCTTCTTTTTGAACAGAAGACAAGGTGTACAGCCAAAATTAAAAGATTTGGGTTCTGCATTTAGAAATTTAGCTGGATTCTGTGAATCCTTCCACCCCTAATTTAACTTTCTGCATAGCATGCTTTCCTTAGTCACAGCAACTCACCAGTAGTGAGGTTCCTCTAAGAATCCAGAATTCTGAACAGTCACTGAGACACAAACTATTCTTCATCCACAAGATCACTGAACAAGTAATTCCTCCAATATTAATTTTTTTTTCCCTAAGAAATGCTTTGCCTTCTTTCTGGTCTAAACATAAACTACTGCTAAGTAATAGCAAGATTTGTAGATAAAGATGACAAACATGGAAACTGGTAAGAACCAAAATCCCAGGTCCTTGTCCTATACAAGTGCATAAACAATCAAAGAATTCAAGTGTTTCCAGTGGCTGAGAGGACTGGGTGTTCGTTATGGACAAGCAAGTCAAGTCTGGCTTATACCTACCTGTACTCAGGAGGAAAGAATTTCCAAAGAAATCAGGACACAGAAACAAGAGTAATATATATAACATTTTTAGAACTAATCTTGTGACCCTGTGGGTCCCTGAAAGTTGATAAAAGATAGGAAGTATAACAGTTTAGGACTAAGGATTCTAACTTTGTTATTTTATTAATAGCATATCGAGCGTGGCCTCCCTGAAGAGGATGAGCAGACAATACTTCCTTATGATGTAAGATAAAAAATTCCTTATTTCTCCAAGCATGGAATAGATTACTGGAGTTTAGCAGTACTTTGATATTGCAAGCTTACAAAAATACATAGTTTTACAGGCGTTCTTGTAGATATTTACTCCTCCACCCTTCATCATAAAATGACAGTATTATGGGCAGGATACCTGCTGCTAATTCGCAAGTATCTTGGTTCCCACCTACTAAGAAGCCCTCAAGAGCACATTAAATTAGCAAAAGCAAAATAACACTAGTGTGCAAGAGTGACAGTATACGAAATAAAAATATTGCACTTGTGTGTTCACTCCCAAAACACCCTGACACAGTTTAAGTAGTAACTGATTGCCAGGTTAGCTACCTAGTTTGCCTCCCTGACACTTGTTAAGGTGAGGGAACTTAGAGTGCACAGGAGAGAAAAAAGCCCCAACACTTTCTTTGAGAACTGAACAGATCACTAGCTCTGAGGGCCTCCAGGACTTCACAGCAGCAGACCCACAGTGCACCATCTGCTCAAATACAAGTTGACAAAGGGAAGAAATCCTTGGTAACAACAGCCCTGAAGATCCATTACAGCTAAAGAACAAACTGTAAAAAGCAAAAGCTAATATGCTGCTAATATTTTTCAGAGTTATGAAACAAAATATTCAGGTCCCCTGATATATATGTAGCCTGATATTTAACAACAGCCTTTCCTTGCTTGCTTAGTGCCACTAACCCCTATGCAAGGCACAGATACTCTCCACAGTCCACACTGCTGTTGTGAAAAGAAATCATTAACAACACACAGAGGAAAGCTTACTGTTAACACCCAAAATAAGCACTTACCAGAGTGAACACATGACAGTATGACAAAACTAGAGCTTATCTGTAGTGACCCATGATGCATACCTGGTTAGCTTTATTGTTTTCCTGAATTCATTAGTAATTGGAGCTTTGTAGCCTCCTTTCCTCAGTAAGGAATCTATGGTTTGAATGTGGTCCCATCCTGTTAAATTTTACAGTAGTAGAAGTTAGTGAGAAGTATAACAGCAAGAATAGAGATTGCAAAAATACAGTATACTAGACAGTGTAATTGATAATGTTCTGGTGACATTCTCTATAGGTCATTCTCCCCTACTTAAGAGCAGCTGAAGGAAATACAATGTATAGGATTTCTTTACACACAACATTTGCTCTACAAGCAACAAATATTTTTATGTCATAGCTGAAATCTTTTAAAAGTGGACCACACCACTCTATCCAGGTGTGCTAAATTTGGGCTACATACAAAAGTAAACTTTTCTGAAACATTCAGGTATGATCATGTATCACAACCACTTCATACATCATGAATGGCTAAGAAAGTATGAAAAATTAAATTTCTGTATAAAATAAAATTTAAAAAACGTAGAAGTTGAATATTTTCAAGACACGTTATTTCCAAAAGATGCAATTAGATTAGTCATATTGTTACAGTAAAGAAAAAAAACTAGTTTTGAGTACATAAAAAAATACAAATGGGTATTTTTGGGTACTTGTAGAAGATCCAACTGCAATGCATAGTCTACTATGTCTATTTAGAAATTAAAACACCCCCCCTTCCCTCCCCAATTCCTTAATTTAACAAAAGCTTGTGTAAGTGATCACCAAAAGTCTTGACCAAAAAATACTTAACTAGCAAACCTTAGATTACAAAGCAAAAAAATTGTGTTAGGCCCTAGACTTTCAAGTGACTATTTGGAAACAGAATTATCTATTAAAGATGATCCTCAATAAAGGCTTTATCCTATTCCTCAGCAAACCAACTCAAATATACAAAAAAAAACCCAAAAAACAGCTGCAGTGCAAAAAATGTGAAAGAATGAGACAGCCTGTCAAGCTTGGAAAAAAATAACCAACATAGTGAATAGTCAATCAGCTGCTCAGCCCACAAGATTTCTATTCAGCAAAATCTACTATAGGTTTTTTTTAATTCACAAACTTAAGTCTGTGCCTCTATTAAAAGGGACTTAAACAACACTATGTTGGAAGTACCTAATTGAAAAAGCTTGATCATGGCCAATTTAGGAATAAATCAGCTGTTAAGACCAGACATCCCATCAGTTAACAGAGTTTTTGCATGTCACTAATACCACAGTGTAACAAGGATATGGAAATTAACAGCTCTGAACAGCACAACAGGTTGACAGCACTGTACCACCCCTCCACATACTTCCTTCTACACCTACGCTGCATTTATGGCTTGTTTAAACAACAGCTACAGTTCCCTGACTCCCCTGCAAGGGGCCTGACACAGGCACGTAATTGGCATTTTATAGAAGAGTCTTCTTACAATTAAATATTGCTCCATCATCTGACATCAGTGCAAGGTCAAATATTGCATTTTAGATTTCTATGTATGTTTAAATTCTTCACCAGATCATATGAAATAAAGTGCAAGAATGACCTTGCTCCTTTGCAACCTCCGGGAGGTAGGTGGCCGTGCGTTTTGATCCTTTTTCATTGATGAACTCTATTCTAATGCCATGGACACCCACCTGCAAGAAATGGGCAGCTTTATTAGTACATTAAAGGTAAAAAAGATACACGAGATTTCTAACACGATGAAACCCCAAACATGAACCTTTCAGTGGTTAATACCCTTCTGCAAAGAGTTCCAAGAGGTGGTGCTGATGTGGATGTAATCTTTTTGCAAGGTGTTCACCTTACAGCCTTGTAAGGTCAGCAGCAGCACAAATGTGCTCCTCAGCTCCCACCACGGGGCTTCGTCCCTGCTCTGAAGGAAATCCAGCTGAGGTGCATAAGTCATTCTGTCTCTGGGTTTACTTCTCCCTCTGACACTGTCAGCAGTGTTGTTGGTACAAAATCACCTGGTTACCAGATATAATCTGCAAGCAACCAAAAAGCTGGCAAATCTAATGTTGTGTCAATTAAAAGCATTAATTTTGTTCCAAGTAACAACTGAACAATTAAAAATTTGTTGTGCTATGAACTGAATCAAAATTTCTGTTAATGTCTGACGAGGAAAAGGAGCTACTCCAAAGCATTCAGCTTCCAACTCCTATTTCCATGCTAAGAACTCTAATATGACAAAATGACAGTTTGGAAACCAAAACTATTAACACCAAGGCCTTGGAGATATATAAAGTTGAACTGCCAAAACAGAAATAAGAGGCTGGGCACCTTTCCAGGGCATTGTTTAAACACCCCTGTTTTCAAGGTACAGTAATTCTGTTGAGAGTACCTGCACTTGGATCAGGCATGCCATAAAAGATATTCCATTGCCAGTAAGTTTTCAGTTGCTTTTGAGTTCTGTGCATAAACACAAAGCATTAGTAGATGGACAGTTTTATTTTCATGCCCACATAACTACGATCTTATTTCAATTTAAATCTAAAATTCCCAACATTGTATGTGGAAATGAACAGTTTGTTTCAAAAGGTATCATGTTATTTGGTATGGCACTTCTTTTTGGACACACAATTAATTGAAAAATGCTGTAACAGCTCCTCCAGTGACAAACTATTTTACTGCAACTACATGACAACCAAAATTCAAAAAAGGAATATTTATAAAGGTCTACCACTTGTTCAATTAACATATTTGCTTATATTAAGACTTGATTTTTTTAATCCTTATAATCTTTACTTATCACTTAACCATGGGGAAATGGGAAGAAGAGTCTCTCTTGTGGCTGGCTACAGCCTCAACAGATTTTCACCATGAGCCTGATGTTTCTTCAACAGGAAAAATTACTTCGAGAGTGATGAATTCAATTCACCACAAATTTTAACATAATATTCCATTACTGAACACTCCTAAACCTAACTTTCATAACATGGATATACAATCACTAGAGAGATGAAATCTCTGTACTTAAATGATGCAATTATGAACCAGAGGACCTGAAAGTAAAACGAAAGTGTTAGAAGCAGAACTGAGCCTACCAAGTTTACTGCAAAAGCAGAGTAAGTTTTTGCAGCTGGTGATTTTGTAACTGTCAATATTCCATCGTCGAAGACTGAGATCAAATATTTTCAGGTTTTGCACACCTTCAAATCCTGCAGAATATTAGATTCTAAATTCTACACAACTGCTTTGCATGACAGTGATCATACAGTATTCATGAGAGCCCAGCCAGAAGCACTAGTGATGTGTTAGGTATGTTGCAACACTCAGGCAGTAGGTAACTGCATGGCACTGGATTGTTCCCATTAACCATTTTGATGGACTTTTAGATGTAGAGCAAAATGAATCAGGTGACACAACTGCACCCACGATTCCTCTGGTTGGGAAGATTAAGGCATTCTGTAAGCACAAATTCCAACTGTGTAGCTAAGCAGAACTCCAGTTCTGCTGGAGGTCCAGTACAGCTTGTCATTGTTTAGCTCCAGTTAATCAAAACCAGGCCTGAGTTTAATAAATGGAAGCCACATACAAGCAAAATAAGAACGATCCACGCTAAGATGGCCATGGGCAAGGTTAGGACTTTATTTGGAGTTCTTCAAGAGACCAATGTAGCTGTATTGATGAAAATTTCTGTGAAATTTCCCCAAACATCCCTCTATAAGCTGGGAGGTAAGGGTACATGTGGGAAGGCATTAACTGGACTGTAACTGGCTTGCCTACAAGCCTCAGCACAATTTTATCCAAAGCCTAAGGCATCCTCCTCAAATGAGAAATACTGATGCACTAAAGACAAGGTTTTGTATCATAACAACATCTGTGCAGTCCAGAAAAACAAAGCAATCTTCTTCTGCCTGTGGACTTTAAGTTCTGTCTTGACTCCTACCATTTATTAGGAACTAGCTACATACAGGTGTCCTTCCGAGCTGCAAAAAGACCACACGATTGCCAGATCAGCCTCCCAAATGAAAAGGAATCTATTTAGATTGTAGCTATTGGGAGAGGGAAGCAAGATCAGGAGAGACACTTAAGGAAGGCAACAAACCAATCTCCTCCAATAGAAATATTTCTGTAGGGTTTTAGAGCATGAAATACTGTATACTATGTATCCACTACTTGTGGATATGAGCTTTTTGGCCCAGAGCCTACCTAAAACTAGGTCCAGTGACAGTATTAAAAAACACAGACCCTTCACTAAATCTAAGGATTTTAATTCTGAAGTGATTTCAGCAGAGCTTCAGATGTTGTGTAGTTATACACATTCATATCCATTTATACGCATTCTTTTTCTGAAGAATCATTTATTCCATACACCTCAAGATGGGGAAAAGCAGACACACAACACTTGTTTTGCTCAGCACTTCTGGCACTTGCTAGATTATTGCCCATAATACCTCTCATGCTCTCTCCTTCTCAGTTGGGCTAAGAAAAAACTGTCCCCAAACCCACCATGAAACCAAAGTTAAAGCAACTCTGATGTTCAACTGTTCTGACTCAAGTTCCAAGCACAGTTTACAAATCTGTTGTTCTCGTGCTGCCTCTCCAACCATACTGAGAGGAACAAGTAACAGTATTCTTGTTAGACTGCCAGTGTGGAATTTGGATAAGCATCCAACAAAACATCAAGCCAGGCTGAAATGTAAGCTTCAGTCCACTGTGGAGTAAATGATCATCAAATAATCATCCTGATCAGTTTTATCTACTGCACTGAAAGCTGGAAGGAATTTGCATACAATTATCGGCAAACTATTAGTTTAAAATGAAGTGTAAACATTTGCTCAGAAATTCGTGAGAGCAGATAAAGAATCTGTTACAAAGGCAGCACACGGAGTGCCCCAGCAGCTCCCTGGGGTTAGGAACGAGTGTTTCAGGAGACACTGGCCTCTCCTCCCTGCACCACACAGCACAGTGACCTTCCCCTGTGAACAGACCTGTCTGGAGCAGGACACTCCAGGTGAGGCACCTAGTGCTGCTCATTACAAGCTGACCCCACCTACAACCTGAATTAGCCTTGCATTTGAGCAAACATGCTGGCTTCTTTCTGATCATCTTTAGCAGGGCTTAAATACTACATTCTGATTTAACAGTGGAGGCAAAAGAGTATTCAGGAGATACACTCTCTGCTTCATAATGAGCATTCTTTTTTAATGAATCATTTATTTACACACATAGAATTGCTGAGTATCATCCAAAGAAAATAAAACATGGAGACCACGACTCTTTCTTCTCTAAGGAACATAAACTGCAAGAATTGCTGGTGCCACTGCACTTGCAGGGAGGAAAGACTTTCCACAGCTCTTGAATGCACTAACTTTGTCAACAATGAAAAGTCAGCTTTCAGTCAACATTACTGGCTACAAATATTTAAGGTAATATTTAAACCAGTGCACACAAGCTAAAGGCCTTTGTCTCAACACAGCAAGCATGTACAATTCTGCAGCTTTTACTTCACTGAAGAACAGCAACTTCAAGGCAGAGTTCTCTTTCAGGGTATTTTAAGGAAGAGTCGCTGGCCAATTCTAGTCATTTATCCCCCTGTTGGAATTACAATACTGTTTTCCAAATAGTTTCTTAGATTCACAATGTTAATTACAATTACATACAATCATAATATTTTATGAAGTTTTAGTAAAAAAATGGGGAGACGGTCTGAATTAGCAAGACAAGCTTTAGCTTTTAGCAATCTCCTCCCCCAGTTCTTAATTAATGAGAAAATAAATTTACAAGGTGTTCATTTGCTATAACATGCAATAGAGATGGAATGAGTATAGGCACATTTCTGTATTTCTTGGGGAAAAAAGGCACCCAGGGGATACATTAAATCATTTGCTGTTGTAAGATACCTTGCAGCTGTACCCTCTCAAGGGGGCAGAGCCTGTAGCACCAAAGCTGGAACTGCAAGACCTCCAACATGATCACACCTTGTATGTGCCATTTCTGGGATCTGAACCCACTCACAGGACATTCTGAATGTAGGCTTACAATCTTCACAAACCAAACACAGGTTCTTATTAAAGGACTCAAAGCCATGACACTTCACAGCAATCTATTCAACCTCTTCTGCATTCCTCTTTTTGGGGTGCTCACTACACACACAGCTCCCAGTGCTACAGCAGATGCAAGTGTATCTGCATTAAGAATCAACAGCAAAATTGGAGGCACCCTGAGGCAGGAATTCAAATTTGTGCAGAAGGAAAAGACTTGGTAGAAGGATAGATCAAAAAGATGAGCTCAAGGGAATGGAAATACAGATAAAGCTGAGTTTATGTGGGGAAGGAATGACTGCTATCAATATCAGATGTGTTTAAAAATAATTGGTCTTTTATGGCTTATCTCTCAAGCAGACCTTTGATATCTGATGTTTAATAAAAAACCAGTACTATCAAAAAAGGAAACATCTCTTAGAGTCTCTCATGTTGCCCATTTCTTTGAGATGGGAAGGCTGTGAAGCTCCACCCCAGCAGCAGCTGGCCCACAGCAATATTTCATGGGTTCTGCCCAGCAGCACACAGTTCATAGGCTCCCGGTGTTCCCTTCCAAGCCCTACACCCGTCCAGCTACTGAAGTGCACTGCAGTTCAGATCCAGGCACATGGAAGTAAGAATGCTAAATTATATTTTAGGAAGTACCCTCAGGAACCATGACACTGAAGTGCTCCTTCGAAGGTTTGTACTTTCTCCTTGTTACTTCTATGAACGGTGAAAATGGCAGCAATTTGAAACATCCTAGGAGAGCTAACAGCAGTCAATCCACTCGTATCTCCTGTTCACTTGGTCCAAGTTTCTCCTGCAAAAGGTTCCGACGTTGTTTTTTACAACTGAAATACTAATTTCTTTAGTTTGGGAAGATAATTCATTAATGAGAGAAAAGAAATATGTATCACTGTGCTTCAGGATACAGTAGACACTCCGGAGCCTTGTCTTCAAATGAGCATGTCTGTGAGTCACCAGAGCACTGTGAGTTGTCTAAAGGAAACCCAAACAAAAGGGGAATCATGGGACCTACTCTGTAACTGAACTTACTTTGTGACCATTTCTTAAAATTACCAGGAATTTGCTGGAGGTTTTAAAAATCTATCACTAAAAAAACCTTAAATGAAATAGGAAAGAGCAACTAAGGAAATGGATAACACAAGGTATTATCTTTAACCCCTCTTAAGTATCAGCCTTCCAATAAGAAGAATTGTGAGAGTCCATAAAATCAGTCAGAACTTAGCTCAAGGATTCTGCAACAAGATACAGAAAGGACATAGGAAGTACAAGCCTCCTTTGTTTCATACAGCTATTAAAGCTATGAATCAGAAGTCTCCCGTGGAACAAAGTTAAAACCAGTCTTTCCCAGGAAGAGTGGAGCTTTGAACTTGGCCTTTGGTTTCTCTTGAAGGATGAATATTTTGGTCATCTTAGAAGTTCATAACTGAGAGAATAAAAAAGGCATCTAATAACATTTACAGACTGTCACAAAGAAAGACCTAAATGTTATTTCATCATGCACTGCACACTTCTAAAGAGACATTTCTCAGTGTATTCATAGTCTGATTTTTAACTGTAAAAATTTTAATTATAATAAATGAAATTAAATAAAAAACATCACAATGGTTACTACCAGAAGTCAACATAGTGAAGCAGAAAAATTTACAATTCTACTGCCAACTTGGCTTAGTATTAGAAGTAACTACAAGTTTTGATTACTTGAAAATATTGTTTAAAGTACCCTAAAGACTCAGTGAGAAGGCAAACTACTTCTCTGAGAAAAGCTGCTTGTTGTGAATGCACACACAGTTTCAGCTAAGATTTATTTTTGGTCTGACACTGCATAAAAAAATGAGTAATTCTGATTATGGTCAAGATGCTGAGAAACCCCAAAGGAAACTCACATTCATCTCATTCAGAATTGCATATTGGGAGGTAAGAAGCCCTTGTCATTATGAGTTGAACAGGAAACATTTTGATTAGATTTTCAGCTAATGTAAAATTCATAATGCTGAGGTTACTGTTAATGAGGTTACAGTGGGGCCTCTTCCCATCTTAACAACAAACAAAATTTCCACTCAATATACATTTGTTATGTGTGAATACAATACAAAGCTTCAATTTTTCTTTAAAAAATCCTAAATATTTCATAGGGTTAAGTCATTATTAAAGAGAAATACTGTAACTTGTCCTATGCCTCTGGCATTATAACCTGTCTGCTATCATATGTAACGACTTCAAAATTTGTTTGTGCACTCCAATATAGACTCAAAGAGCAACACAAGTCATACCAGCTGGCATGAGAAGTTCATCCTAAGTCCATCAACTTTGTTTTTGCTAGCATCTAAAACCACATAATTTGAGAAAAAGCAGAATACAGAATAACACTTCCTTTAATTTACGTTCCCAGAAATAAATGCAAAAGCAGCATTTGCTTCTTCATCTCTTTTATGCTGCTGTTCCATGCGAATGCATGAGGGTTTCCTAGAACTGAACAACTGAAGTACATTCAGCTCCATGCATAAGAGCAACAATTTCCCTGCCCTCGTTCTGTAAGGGCTCAGTGGGGCTCGTGCAGGCCACTCGCTCTGAAAGCAAAGGAAGCATTGGCAAAAACAAATGGCTCGCTCCTACAAGCTAAATAAGGCAGCTTGGTTCAATTTTTTTGCAGTGCTTGTTTCCAGAAGCATAGATCAGACTATTAACTTTTGTAGTGGAACTTCATCTTTCCAGGATGAACAGACTGCTCTACCATGTATCTGCAGTTAGCTGGGCTGCAGAAGAGGTCTCAGGACAGCACCACTGAGGTGGAGATGGGTTGATGGAGTCCTGGGCATAAACACAGCTGTGCAGAGCACTCCAGCTCTGAGTGCCTGCGTGGGCAGAACACAACTTCATTCCACTCTGGTGGCTCAGCCTCTTAAGGTGATGACAATTCTATCAAAAAGCATCTTTTAAATCTATGCACAAAACAATACATACAGGGTGCAAAACAGTGCCGGCGACACTAAACACAGGCAGAAAATTTAAATGGTGTGACTTGTGGTATATATGATCATGGCATCAAAGTAATCTTCTCACAAGGTATCTGACATCCTTACCTCCCAGTCCATGTAGTCACATACATCTTCAAAGTTAGTGAGTAGAGACACTGAGCAGAAAAGCCGGGGCAGCTCATCCCTCGTCATTGGGGGGAAACGACTATCTTTAAGGGCACTGTTGAAGACAAAACAGAATTTCAAAGGATTTTTGTTGTTTGTTTGTTTTGTTTTTTTTTTAAGTTCAGGGATCTAATGAATCAACTGAAAAGCATAAAGGACAAAAAAAATCCTGATGAAATGATGACCAGTTTGATAATCCAGTTGCCAGTGTAACACACTGACCAACGTTCCCAACTTTTTCCTTAGACATTTGTTTCAGTTCTTGGCTGGCCAGTCAGGTGGTTTTCTGAGGGTCATTCCTTCCTGAGCCCATTTTGCTACTGTGACAATCGTATTAAGGAACCAGCAGAAAGTTTTTGGAAAAAGTTACAAAAGATCCCTAGCTCTTCCACTTGCAATTAAGTAAATCCCCTTCAGAAGGGATTAAACTATACAACATAGGCAATTTTTATAGCCTGCAATAATGGAATACGTAATACAGTAATCAAACTGTAGAACTTAGATACTCAGTGAAAAAGAATAAAAAAAGAGGAATATTCTCCAAAAAAGAATAATATTCATGATTACTGGCAAAGGTGAACATATATAACTAAAAACATCCAAGGGCTCTACAGATCTGTAGACCTACAGGACTTGAAGATGTTCTGCCAAGCAGAGGTGATGATTAGTAACAGGGAAGCTTGCAAACAGCTACTCTAATCCTCAGGCTAACGTACCGTTCTAGAGACAAACACAGACCTAAAGGGGTGAAATTCAGTAGAGAGAGGAGCTACCTGTGCACATTCCAGCACGCTTTGGAAACCAGAGCAGTTAACAGACAGTGAGCAGTACCACGAGTAGGAACATCTGGAAAACCTACTTGTGTACGTCTGATTAAGAACCAGTTAAATTGGAAGAGGGAAGGTTGAAGTGAATATGGTAACTCCTGATTTTTTATTTTCTTAAGGTTTGAAACACAATGTGTATGAATACAAACATGCTCATCTCCAACAAAAACAGTCATCTGCTTACTGAGCTTTTTGATGAGTAAAGAGAATTTAAGAGACTTAACTAAAGTACTACCAAGTTCTCCACATGGAACATTGTTTCATCTAACAATTAGATCATTCTTCCTCATCCTCCTTGGCATACAGCCAGCAGTTGCCATTAGCTGGTATAATCACAACCATGACCCTGGTGTTTAGAATATGGCTGAAGTCTCTGCATCAGATATTACCATTTTATATAAAGAGTAGTATAACTTTATTAAAGCAGACCAAATAAGGACACATAAGCAAAAAAAATCTCCAGTTTAGCTAAAGGAAATTGTATGTATAACTAGAAATAGCTTCCCAACATGAATTAATACTATACGCTGAAAAGTTAAAATAAAACCTTTGTTTTTCTGGGGCAGAGGGAGGGCAGGTGTTTTTCCCAGATACTCTACAATTAAAAAAAAAAAAACAAACAAACCAGTATTGGAATTTAGACTAGAAGCCTTCTCCAAGCTTTGGTATTTTTGCATTGCGACAGGTCAGAAATTTAGTTTTTCATTGTGAAGATAAATGTAGCATGTAATGAACAGTTAGTGGGCCTACACTGCCCATTATTTATGAGCAATTCCAGCCAACCCCAGGTAGGGTTGCTGTAGGTAGGAGATGATGTTGGGACCACAAGTAACTAGGAAAGAGAACTCTTTGACATTTAGGTAGGATAGACAGGCCTACAGAGACCTGTGAAGAACAGGGAACACGAAGGAGGTTTAAAGTGCAATGCCTGTGATGGTTAACTAATGACTTTGAATGAAGATACCTCAAAAGATGGTATTCTCCAAGACTCTGGGGACAAAATTTGCAAAGCTAGCTTTGTAACTGCTGGGAACCAGGCAAAGGTACCATTGTCCATTGTGGGGTGCTTTGGAGCAACATCAGAAATCAATGCATAGAGCCACAGCATAAGAGCAACGTAGGAAAGACAAACAGTTAATTCAGCCTTTCCATCCCTCTGTGTGTGTGTGTGAATATATACAGATATTTTTTTAATATATATGTAAAGGGAGGATACTCTTACTATAGGGACAGTTAAACTAGAAGTCCATCTAGCCTAGTATTAAGTAATAACCACCAGCAGTTAGCAAAATGAATGAGTAGAACACAGTAAATATCCAGGGGTACTTTCCTGGAATACTCTCCAGGAATCCAGCTATTTATAGCTGAGGTATTTCGAGCCAGAGATGGTATCTCTGCACCTAAAAGCTCTTCACGGGTTTATTTAATAAGTGTACACATACACTCTTGAAATGCTTTACACCATCTTTTACTAGAAACTATAAAACTATGTTCAGAAACTCTAAACCCCTGAAAATCCATTGCTACTCCAGGTTTGCATATATGCAAATGTCTCATTTCCCTGAGGTATGCTGTACCTATATCACATCACCAACTTGAATACACTGCTGAAAGGCACCCAGTGAGACAAGCGTTAGTTCTTAACGAATGGCAAATTCCATTCTCCTAAGAAGCAACTGCATGCATGGATATTGCCAATACTCATTTAAACCTGGTTCTAGCAAGCCATACAACAGTCTTACCATGGAAAACATTTCCCATATTGTAAGAACTTGTGACCTTCAAAAAACTGGGTTTTTTGCACAACTTCATACTAGGAGTTTATCTGACTTTCAGTTCTTCTTTGTAGAACTGCCAAAATGCACTTGTGCCTTTCAGTGTTTTGAGGCCAAGGTTGTCTGCAACGGGTGTACGCATGACCCCAGTAATGGCAGCAGTAAAAGACCTGGGCAAATTCCCTCTCTGAAGATCTGCTGCACTGACACTGCTAGATGAGAAACCATCCTTCATTTAACCTACTTTTAGGCTGTACAAAACCAGCCGTCCCACAGCACACACGTACGCCACGTCTCAGCCACTCTGCTCAGATGCAATAACCTGAAACAAGATGAGTGAATCACGACAAATCTGAATATTGATAAGAAGCTGAGACACAAAACCTCCACGTGAGCAGTGGAAGCAGAAAGGCACGCAAAGGTGCGAAAGCCTCGGGGGTGCCCAGCAAAGTGGGTCAGGTTTGGTGAGAGCAGAGCAATGGAGCACTGCACACTCGTATGGCAGGCTGAGCTGGCCAGTCCCAGTGCTCACTAATGTGACACTGGCACAAACATTCTGCTTACTTTATCATAACTAAAATATCGTTTATCAAATGATAGTACCATTTCAGCCATACCTAGTTCCTTCAGAACTGCTAGGTGCTATTTTATCTTTACAGCCTGCTGAAAAATTGCTCCTCAGCACCATACTGTAACACATCTGCACATGTATCCTGCATCAGCACTCATGGTGCTGAAGATAAGCAAGATACCTGCCAGGACACGATCAGAGATCTGAATGTCTGACACCATTACAAATGGTTGATTCAGAACGCTGCCGTTACTCTATTCCTCCATTCCTTACCTCCAACACCCCACAGCACAATTTGTTTTTATTTTTCAAAACAGCTTTGTCTCTGCTGTTAAGTAAAGCCAAAATTTACCTGGAGAAATCTGTGTTGACAATCAGCAACTGGCAAAAAACATACTGAAGAGAGATACCAAAAAGAAAGCCTTTATTTGTACTCATTAGCCACACAAAATATTCTGTCTGCTAATGCAAAAGTTATAATTGCTGGACTACTTCAGTTTCATATCAGGTGCCATTTTTACAAGAATTAGCTTAAAACTTAACCCTGCTCTGTTGAGTTTGATCTAGGTGCATCACACACTGCTTTAAAACTGGGACATGTTTACGCCTTGGAAGTGCTGTCTATTACAGTTGGAGTATCAGTCATCTCGATCATTCTTTCATTACTATCATAGCTGAAATTCCAAAGTAAGTTCCAGATGCCTTTTGAGAACCCAAGAGCAGAGCAGGTCTGTATCACCTCTTCACAGATCAACTGTTTTCATTTCTGTGTTTTTTAATACTTGGTTAGCAGGAGAGATATGCCACTAGAGATGCCTCCCTTCAGAATCCAGCCATTATCCTTAAGCCTCAACTTTATCTCTGTGGGTAGTGAATAAATCATCTACTGACTGTTCTGATGATGTGGGTAAAGCAAGTGGATGGTACCCAGTTGAGTTCCTCACGGGCAGCTGTCCACAGTATACAAACCTTAAGCTCTCTGTGGTTAACAGACTGGCATCACCTCAGAGATGCCAGCAGATCTCAGCACTTATCAAGGATAAAAAACCTTGCATGAGCTTTTCCTTTTGTTCCTGTTTTGGGACGAAGGAGTATCAGTTTCTGGAGGCAGCAGTTTGGTATCCACCGTCCACTTCCTACACCCTATATAGCTGCATGCATGTAACTACAGAAGTTTGCCTCACCTGCCGTGCCAGTGTTGCCTCTTGGTGACCAATTCAAAGCAAGCATAAAATACAGACAAGATAACATCTGCTTGTTTTCCTCAAAAGCTTGTTGGTTCAGGATGAAAAGTCACTGTGTAATTGTGCATTTCTGATAAGTAGAGACTTTGTTCTGTTTATTTGATGGAAGCATTTTTGTAATATTAGAATGTAATTTTACAATCTCATTCAATGCCATATTCTTCTGTTAATTCTTCCATTAGAAAGGCAAAAGGATTCTTATGAAACAAAATCTGGAATAAACCAGGTTTAGGGACATGGTTTAGTGGTGACCTGGCAGTGCTGGGTTAATGGCTGGAGTTAAAAGTCTCTTCCAAACAAAACAATTCTATGATCCTATTAAAAAAAAAAAATCCACTACACAATTTTTCTGTTAAAATTAATGAAGGGTAAATAGAAATAATTGGTAAATTAAGCTGGAAAAATTAGGCAGAATTCAAAACTACTTTTAATGAAAAAAAATACTGATTTAAAAAGCATTTTCTAAACCATCTGTTCTTTATTCCTCAATGCCCAGAACTAATTTACATGAATTGCTGCTGACTAAACGGAAGTACCTGGCAGCGGAGAGCTGAAAAGAAGCACTGCAAGGGGAATTCTAGCTGGCCAATAAAAGGACATTAGTTTTTCCACATGGAGTTCTGCTCCATGCAAGCAGA